CTGGCCTTTTAGGTCCAACACAAATTTAACTTTTATTTTGCGCGCGTGAAGTATTTTGCCAATTTGAATAATTAATTTTTCAAAACTTCTGCAAGGATCCACACTCGGGCAGTGCACACTTTGGACTTTTCTGTCAAACCATCTAAAACTTCACACGCTAGTCAGCGATCACTATCTACTCTCTATTATTTTATGCCACGTGTCCTATTTGGGCTCCTTAGCCAAGATTGGGCCATACGATGCCAAGACTGTAAACCACGCGCCTTTCTATGCGGCTGTTGATCTATATCTCAACTTTTTGAACACCATGAGACCAACGGCTACACCTCACTGCACATTTGCCCATGCTATTTCTAAAGTGAACCTTCTTCATTTATTTCAATTTTGTAGAAAATATAGTTATTTACAGAAAAAAACTTATGTGGAATAAAATAATCTAACCGCACAACATTATATAAAAAAGAACATTGAAAATAATCAAATGTTTTCTACACTAAAATAGGGAAATGATGTTGTACCATTTCATCGAGTTTGTAACCGTTAGATCATCATGTAATCGTCAAACATAGTTAATTTAACTGTTACAAACTCCAACAGAATGATTTCGTGACGACATTTCCCACTAAATTTTAAATTATTATAAGCTAAAAAAAATAAAAAAGCTTGAGAGTAATAGGTTGTTATTGACTTAAAACAGTTTAGAAGTAAGCACATTTGCAATTATAGCAGTACCCACACAAAGAACCCCACCATTGTTTTCAAGATTCAGCTTTTTTTCTTGAGTTTTTCCATCACAAAACAAACACCCTTTTAAACTCTTTACTATATTCATTCAAAAAAAACCTATCAAATAGGTTCTTGTGAAGGAACCCCAAATCAAATTCAAGAAAATGAAAATCAGTGCTTCAATTTTGGTGTTTTTAGCTGCTTTGGCGACCACCCTTTTCAGCAAATGCTCTATTGCTCTCAGCCCAGATGGTATTTCCCCCTTTTTTTAGATTTTTTTTTTTTTTTTTTTTTTTT